CCGCTCATCGGTGAAGATTGTTGCATACCAGGACCACCCATGCCAGGCTCTGCCTTGAAGCCCATCGGCATGCCCTGTCCGGGATGTGGCTGCTGGGCATTTTGTCCCCCCTGATTCTCGTTTCTCACGTTGACGGCCGTCTTGTTTAGCGGTGCTCGGGAGGTTCCTGTCGGCGCACGCATCTTGCGCATACTCTGGTATGTTGCCATTTTGCTCATAATCTCCCCCAAAATCTGCAAGCCCTTCATCTCAGGCGGTAGAGTCCGGTCTGTTCCGAAGACGTAATCCAGGCAAGCCCAGATACGGTCGGCCTCCCTGTTCTGCGGTCTGTAGTAGATCTCAGTGGCCAAGAGCAGAGCAATCTGGAATTGTTGGTAGGCGCCTAGATACCAGGCCCAGTCTCGGAATTGCGGGTCGTTCTCAAGCTGTATCGAGATCTCAATGATCATGATGCCAGAAGTGACGAGTAGGTTGTTGAGGCGGTGGGTCATGGGACTGTTGGCGTTGGCGTGGTAGGGGTGAAGGATCATGACGTGGAGGCGGTAGAGGAGCAGATTCATAACCAACTTCGCGTAGCGTTGAATAGGGATTTCGCCATCGAGTAAATGTTCGTACTTCTCCACCATTCGCCGCCTAAAGTTTTCAATCTTCTGGAGAACAGCAGTGAGTGTCGTTTTGCGTGTTTCGAGCCTGCGGCGGTCCAGCCAGATTACGCGCATCATCTCGTTGCACTCGGTCCGAATCGCTGATAGTAAAGAAGAGGTCCACACGTCTGCGGGCTCAGGGGGTGGTCCGGCAGCGTAAAAGTCTTCTTCTTCACAGTTGAGCGGGAGCTTGGTGTCGTAATCTTCCCTCCTGATAGCCGGCCTGGGGCCTTGCGCTTCGCAGGTGCGGATATCGAGGAAGCAGAGTTGATGCCAGATGAGTCTACGAACGTGAGTGTCCAGAGGATTCAGTCCGTATGTCTCTCCGTCTCTGTGCAAGCCCATGCACTCGGCCATCCTGACAGCGGCACCGACCAGAACAGAGTGAGCTCGAGATACCTCGGCTCTGCAGAGTGGGAGCTGTGATTGATGTCAGTCACGAGCTTGCTGAAACACAAACAGGCGCAACGTACCATATACATGATGAAAGCCTGCATAGTCTCCACTCTAGTTGTGCGTAGGAAATTGGCCTTTCCGAGAGCTCTCTCTGTCTCGGTTTTCATTCGGTCGATCAAGTTGGCTTTGGTGACGCCAAACAACGTCCTTACTGTCGGATCGTCCATACTCACGGCGGCACTGAACCAAGCCGCAAACATGACGGCTTGAGTGGAGGCCCTGGGTTCAATGTTGCTGTAGACTTCATCCCAGAAGTTTACATACTCAGCCTCAAAGGACGGTCTGTGAACACATCGTGCAATGGGGTGAACTGCTGCAAAGTATTGTTGCGTGAGTCGATCAGCAGCCTCCTTTTGAGGTAATCTCCTATCAAGAGAGAGGGCCTCGGGGGTGTGGCCAAAGAAGAAGCCGCTCGAGGGGGGAATGTAGGATTCACCAGGCCTCAAAAAGTCGGGGATCGAGTCACCAGAGCTTCCGCTCACGACAGACATGGCATCCATGCCGGGTGGTGGACCACCAAAGCCGGGATACCCAGGAGGCGGCCCACCACGGGGCGGCCCGCCTCGTCCGGCCCCGCCCATGCCCCTACCGCCCATCATGGCCATCATTCCTCCCATACCGCCCATCGGGCCACCCATCGGACCGCCCGGAGGTGGACCCCCGGGGGGACCGCCCGGGCCAGATATACCGGCCGAGATCTGACTATTGCGTCAGAAAATCGCTAGCTCGAGACAAGTGATCAAGATTTGGGATTGAACTGGTGAAAAGTAACAGTAGGATTGGACACACCTCTTCAGCTATTCTGGGTCTGGATAGGCCACCGATGCGCTCTGTGATACGCATGCGACCAACTTGTACACCCAGGTCAATGAGATCGTCGGTTCCGTCTGCGTCTTCTTCGTACGTGACATCGAGAGCCGTCATATCTGTGGGCTCTAGATCGCGCTCCTCGGCAAAGTCGTCCTCGACATCGTCGGCGAGGATAGCTTGCTGCTGGGCGGCTCGGGACGTTTTGGCGACATCGCGCTCCAACTGGCGCTCCAATGATCCAACCTTCTCCTTGATCTCTGTAAGACGGAGCTGACTGGCCTCATCAAGCTTGGGACTAAGGTAGACGCAGTCGCGCGAAAACTTCATGCAGTTGACACATGGCTGAGACTTGTTGCACTTGAGCTTCCTGCGCCGGCACTCGAGGCAGGACGTAATCATGCGCATACGCCTCCGGATAGGCTTAGAGGCGGGACTAGGCGCTCCCGACACAGAGGCGGCCGGGGACGAAGGGCGGTTGGGTGGTAGACCGGTCATGCCGTGCGGCGCGGAAGATGTTGCTGAGCCCGGTGAATGAGCGCCAGGCATGAGATCAGAGTTTGGTAGGACGCGGGGGCTCGTCATGGAAGGGCCTTGTGCGGTTGGGCTCACGGGATTGATCGAGTAGTACTGTGGCTGGCCATGGGGTGATTGCGCGGGTGTTTGTAAGTGAGAGTGGCCATGATGGTAGGCGTGTGCTTGTGCGTGAGCGTGCGAGTGCGCGTGTGCGTGGTCCATGGGCTGAGCCGAGTAGACGGCACCACCACCGGCGGCGGCGGCGGCAGCGGCAGCGGCAGCAGCATGACGTGCAGCGGAATAGTGCCCAGAATCCATTTGATGGTTGGTTGGCGGTTCGGGCGCCGGTCTGATCAGATCTCGGATTCTTGTCAATGGCCGAGCGTTTGGAAAAGGAGGGTGTTATGAGAGGCTGTCGGGATGAAAATCGAAGCAAACAAGACGGTCATTCGTTGAAGAGAGTCGAGGATGCGGTCCAAAGAGGATAGAAACTGGGAACGGTCGAGGGTTACCTGGGTGTTCCGGGGGGAGTTACGGACGTAAAAAGGGACGTGGGAAGCTACAGCCTACGGGTGCGAGCCGGGTAGCCAGTGGTGAACGGAGATATGTGAGAGGAGCGGGCGGGACATGCAGGAGAGTTGATTTCTAGTCTGGTCCCTGGTCCTGGTCCTGGTCCTTGTCGTGGTTGTGTGTGATGGTGCTTGCGGGTGGTGGACGACTAATCCCAGTCCGAAGGATTGAGATGGTGGTGATGGTGGTGGTTGGGTGGGCGAGTAGGCGAGCGAGGAGCCAAGTATGTGAGAGGAGGACAAGTTGGGGGTGGGCGCGCGCAAGCCTATGTAAGTGCCCATCCACGTAGGAATACAGCTCTCTCTCACCCTCTCACACAGACGCCGGTAGATGCGGAGGCCGGCGAAGAAGAGGGTATCCTCGATTGGGACTGGGTTTGAACTTGATTTGTGTCACTTCCTGTCCAACAACGGACAATAAGAGGACGAAAAGGAGGGGTGGAGGGGCGTGGCCGAAAAGGAAGCTACCTCGAGGTAAGAGACAGAGAGGGGGGAGAAAGAGAAAGGAAGAGACACGAACGTGGGAGTGAGTGACATGGAAAAGAAGAAGAGAACAAGAGGTAGAACCAGCAGGGCGAGACACGAAACGAACGAAGCGTGTAACTGTTGCGGGAAGATGGGAGGATGGAGGATGGTGGGAGAGGTGTGTGGAGCAGAGTACGTGGTAGAGAAGAGCAGAGCAGGATGAAATGGCCCAGAACGACCTTCCCGCAAGGCAAAGTATGCGGTACCCGGTACTTCGAGCGGCCCAGACAAAGAGGGGATGGGGAGCACCGCACCTTCTCGCCGAGTCTCCGCATCTTTCGTACTGGCTTCTCAGTAGTGGCCGCAGCAGCACCCTCCTCGGGGAATCAGCGGGCAACGTTAGGTATCTAATAGTGGGCGCACAGCATATACATACTTACGCAGTAGAGTACGTGAGGTAAGGCAGCGGGACGGAGCAGGCGAGACCTGCTGGGCCGGTTCGCGTGTGCGACTGGGCGAGGAGATCCGCCGCAGGTACCGGGTACTTCCGCATGCGGGGGTTCGGCACCCCTGAGCTCTTTCTCTCTGCCCAAGACACACCTCCCGGGAAGGAATAGTTCATCGCAACATCACGCAACATGTTCAGGGCGTCGTCTCTTCGCTAATCTGCGCACAACACTGGTCTGTAAAGATACTCCGTATTTGCACCATGTATCCACGTTTTGATAAGTACCTTTCCAGAGACAGCTTGCCCTCCTCACCTACCTTAAGGTACTAAACATCTGGACTGGACGAAGCTACGAACCCTACGACAATCCCCCATGGAGGGACAAAAGCAGATAAGCTCTTTCTCTCGCCATGTCTCTCAATCTTTCTGAGAATGGAAGTACATGTCTCTCTCCGTCTTTCTCTCTCTCTCGCACTCTCTGGGCTGCCGTTCCCTCGACTCTGCTTAGCTGCCGACGGGAGAAGCTGGCGTCGGCGTTCCAAACCGTCCGGAACGTTCCCATCTTTCACTTCTTTCCTTTCTCTCTTTCTATCTTTTGCGGCGGTACTACCCGTACGGCGTATGCGGATAACCATATGTCGTAGCTGCCTGCGCCATGCTATGCCACCTACGAGGATGCCGCCATCCCGTGGCCATGCCGCAGCCTGTCCCGTGTCTGCCCTGTCTTACGGCGTGCCTATCACTCAACTGTTATTACAGACGTGTCTTTGGATGAAGAGAAGCGAATGGGACAACGCTGCTCAACGTGCAGGGTTCTTTTGCTCTCGTTTATCATGGCACATACGGGATATCCGTCGCGTACGGAGCTACAAGTGTCCATACACTATGCCCGTACTTGCATCAACGTTTGCCTCTGAACCCTGAGTCTGTGAGTCTGTGAGTCTGAGTCCCTGACTTGAGTCTAATGAATGATGGACGGCGGGCCGGCCCCCCCATGCTACCATGTCCCCTCCAACCATGCGTGCCACGTTCGTCTGAGCAAAGGTCATATTAAGGTCAGAGGAGGCTAATGTCGCCTCAACGGGCCTACGGCAAATGTCAGTCGAGTTCTATGTCATCAGTCGCGAACCGACGCCGTCCACGCCCTCTCACTGGACACAGCCCACCCATCTCGTTTTCCTTTGCTTTCTTTTTGCGCGCTCATCTTTGCTGCACGTAATCAAGAGGGACGTGTTGGGGGAGATGGAAGGGGCACGCCAATTATGCCTCGGCCGAAACGAACCCTTCTTTCTCTGCCTTTACCCTTTTCTGCCGCCTTTCCTGGGCTTCCTCTACCCGTACGGAGTTATGTACTCTCCAGGGCAGGTTGTATTAGCTCCAAGAAGTTGCAGCATCCTCCCCCTGCCCATCACATATCCTCAATCTCTGCCCGCCTCCGCCGCCCGTCAACCCCCCACCTCGATGAGCAAAAATTTTTGTCCAACAATGTTACGATTTGGGCATGAGCTGCCCCGATTCCATCCATTGAGGAAGAATCAAACGCTATGCAGATACGTCGCCCCTCCCCTCATTCCCCATCCGCGGACCGCAGCACCGCAGGTATCGCACGTCAGTTCCTCGAGGAGGAGTCCACAGCCTTAGGTAGGCACTCGCGGTACTATGTATGTACGGAGTACCTACAGGCAATAGGGAGCTTGGGTACGAACTACGACGTAGGTACCGTAGCTCCAGTGCTCCACAAGGGACCAAACCTAATCAACGATGGCGCTGCTTCCATCCATCTTCCATACATTCCAGACCTCGTCTTAGGTTGTTCGTTTTTTCTTCTCAACTTCACACTGACAGACAATGCGTGGTCCACTCCCCCAACCTGGCGAAGTGAGAGCCTCAAGTGGTTAACCCAGGGTCTCATCCACCCAAATGCAGCGACGGTAGCATCACCTCTCCCACACACAATCTCTCTTTTGCTGCTCATCGCCTCACCTCACTCGCCTCTCTCTCTTATCGGCCCACCCCCTCCCCCCCGAATATTCCGGCTTCCCGTCCACTAACAAACTTTGCCCGTTTTCTCTGCACTAAGGCCTACCTCAGTCTTTCACCAATATCGAAACACCTTTCTGCTAATGTCCAACCTATGTGCCTGGGCTGAGAGGGAAAAGGGCCCTAATGTAAGGTACGGGATGGTTACATGATACACCCTTTGCAAATCTTTCGCCTCTTGACCACCGCCACCCTGGGTGACTACTAAGGTAGTAGGTGTTGCTCCGAGTCTATTCAACTCACCTAGAACCAGTCATCCGGCCGCCTCCCCCGTTTCATAGGCCGCAAATGACTATGTATGATTATCCCCCCTCTACCCCTCCGCCTCCCGTCCGTCCCGGGGGTGAGGTGTCAATCGACCGGGCGGCGCCGAACGAGGCTCCAAGCCCACCACAATCCAACCTACTGTCCCATATTCCGCCCGCTGCCCGCAAAGGAAACGAACACATTCACGGGCGGCGAGAGACAAAACCAAGACCCAAAACGTGAAAGAGCCCCAAAAATCGATTGAAACCAAACGAATTCTTCAATTTAACCATTCTCCAACTTTCGACAATGGGAAACCAGAATCAAGGTTTTCCCTGTCTCATACCATTTAAACAAAGGAAAGAAGAAAAAAAATGCACGAGACTTTTCGCGACCTCGCGACTTCCTCAGTTTCGAGCACCGGAAGGGAAACGTGTGGTGTGTGTGTGTACCCACCCGCCCACCAACATGATCTCTCATTGTACGCATGCGGCCAGAAAAGTCGAACAAGCTCACACACACACACACACTCTCTCTCTCTCCATCAACCAACCTTGTGACCCGGCCGAGAGCCCGTACGCCGTCAAAGGGAACCCAATGGAATGCCGTCCGGCGCCGTCCTCCTCCTCCTGCTCGTTTCGCCCGCCTACTTTGCCCTTTCACACATTCCAGCGTTCTTCGTTGCTGCGGCTCGCTGCAGATGCTGCTAATTTTTTTCCCTCGTGGCAAAAGCTTTGAACGAACCGAATCAGCTTTCCCGCGCCATCACGAAACAAGGGGCCCTGTCACTCCCCTCCCCCATCCCATTGCAGAATCCCAATCGTACTGGGCCGTGCCGCTTCTTTGCTGGTCGTAGATGCGAAAGGTACCTCACCTACCTTTTTACCTTCTTGTCCCACTACTCTTTCTGCCCACCGTGATCGCCCTCGAGTACCACGGGCACGCGCTACTCATCGTCTTCCCCCCCTTTCACGTCTTTATTGCTGGGTCCGAATGACTTCATCTTGTATGTGTTTGACGTAGTATTTGAATATGTGTGAATGTGGGTGTGTTTGTATTATTCCCTAAAAATCACCCAACCATCTACCACTTGCTCCTTTCCGGAGCCCCAATCGCCTCTCTGATCCGCTGGGCGTCCGGCACCCCTTCAGCCTCACGGCACCTCTTCCTCTCTAGTTCGGAATTGGCCTGCCTCCACCGTTGCAGCACCCGGGCGACGAGAGCCCTCTGCTCGGGTCCCCTGGACTGTCCTATAACATCCAGCAACCAGAGCAGGCGTTGCGTCCGCCCGAACTCGCCCTTCTTGAGCTCGCGCGTGGCCACCTTGGCGATGGCCGCCATCGAGCGGTTGCTGAGCGGCACCTTGTTGTTCCGGAGCCAGCTGATGCACCTGGACATATCTCGAAACGTGCTCCTCTCCGACCGGTTCGCCGCGCTCGCGAACCACACCGTCATGTCTTCCATGAGAGCTTTCCTCCTGATCGAGAGCTCGTGCCGTTTCGCTTCGTACCGCTTCATCTTGCCGTCTCCGCAGTGTACTGCCCACCAAATGTCCCGGGATGTTACCGATTCGTCTCTGATCATGGACTTGATGTAGGGCACCCAAGCCGTCCAATGCCACTGTGACTCGATTCGGCTCTCCAGCTTCTTCTCGTGTGAGAGCAGGATCGACCTTAGCCTGAGGGCCGTCTTGTAATCATGACTGGCTGACGCGACTCGCATGAACGGCATGACAGGTATCGAATCCCTGGTTTCCGCAAAACGTTGCATCGAGACGATGAGCTGATCCTGGCGACCGAAGCGACTCAGCAGCTTCATGAGGTTTTTGATTAGCCAGACATGTTCCCTCCTCAAATGCTTTGGTTTATCGTGCTCAATTTCGCAAATACCGGCTACTAGGGCAGCGAGGCTCGAAGTCGCATGTCTGGACGATTCGCGGTCCCAGAATGCTGCGACAGCCTCGTGGTCACCTAGGTACCCACGGCTAGTCCATTGCTGGAGGACAAGCTGGCTGAGATCTCGGTCATCGTGCCAGGGTAGCTCGCGGTCAAAGTATTTGGACCTGACGCAAGCGTCAAAGAGATAGACAGAGTCGACCAGCGGCATGTGTGCCAAGACCTGCAGCCAAAGGAAATGAAGCTTTTGGCGGGCTTCCTCCTCAAAGACCACTGAACCTTGATAGACTGCGATTTCGATCCCCTCGAGAAGCGCACCGTGGTTGTCGGGTGACAATTCGCGGAGCGCAACGCCAATGTCCGCGGCCCGTCTGCGCCCCGTCGACTGAGACACGGCTAGTGTTTGCACTGCCGCAATGATGCCCTCGTGGACATCGTTCAGGTATGGGCGAGGGACCGCATCGAGCGTAGCCTGGAATAAGAGAATCGTCGCGTCATTGGCCCGCAGCTGAGACGTCCGATTCAGCACAAGATTCCAAAAGCTCGCGTCAAACTCTGACGGGCCCAAAACTTTGGAAGATGCGATTCCGTTGACAACGGCCGAAAGAAACAGCTCAATGGCTGTGCTGACCGTCTCGCCGTCAGCGCTTGTCCCGGTCAAAGACTCGGGGAATTTCGAAACAGCCATGTCCACGGCTCTGGGATCGAGGGCACCCAATTTCAGTTCCTTTTGAAGCCCCTCGATAAAGTCGTAATAGCCCGAGTCGATCGCCTTCCGTGTCGATGCCGCAACGGCGGCTCGGGCTTCAGACAGCCGATCGTCAAATGTGGAGGCTGGCGCATTCTCAATGCCGTTCCGGTCAACTTCCTCCTCTTTCATCTGTTGTTCTGACATTGACCATCTGTAAACGCGAGATAGCAGAGATTGACTTTGCTGGCTCTGTAGATCATCCCTCTGGTCCTTTGATGTACGAAGTGTCGGCGGTTGCCACTTCCATTGGCTCAGATCGATCGGGAACTCAATGGCCCAGGGAGGTAGGGTCGAGTGTCCGTCCATGTGCATCTCTGCCATCCTTCTCTTGCCCAGTCTTCGTCGATTCTCCAGCGGGCCGGGCACAGAGCTCGATTTCCGTCTCGTGAGGCGTGATACGTGGCAGTAGCGCTCAAAGGCGCTCGCCAACAGACCATCCGTGATCCATACATTGTCGGGCGAAGCTTGAAGCTGTTGCTGGACGGCGCGGCAGCATCGGACGGTTGGTCGTGACGGCGGCATTGCAGCCCGGTCGCCAAGGGATCGAATGGCGACGGGCGCGTGGGTATTCAATTGATCTTGCTCGGACTATATCATCGTCGTCCTGGTCGTGAAGCTGCTTTTGCGTGTTCAGTCGCGGGCGGAGATTGCCAATTGGCTCGATTTGATTCGATGGAGACTATTCAGAGCTGTTTGAAGAGAAGCGACAAATGGAAATTGCCAGGGAGGTCGAAAGAGCTTTGGATTGCGGGCCCACTCAATAGCGGAGTCAAGCCACAACGTGGCTGGTGCACCTGCCGGACCGGCTGCCTCGGCGACGTGCGCAGGGCGGCAGGGGCGCACAGGAGGCGGTGGACGGGGGTCCTGAAGCTTTGGCGGGGTTTTGCAGCGACCGAACCGCGGGGCACTTTTTGGATGATCCGTGGAACGGCATCTCCAACATCCGCCATCAGCACCTTCAATTCCCACAGCAGGCCGACAAGATGGAGTTGACATTTGAGCCATTGAAGAACGACCTGCTCTTGCGCGCAGCACGAGGTGAGTATCTACCCCTAGTCCACTCTTCTAGTCAAATGCTGACCTCCTCAATTTCCAGGCGAGACGGTCGAGCGCCCGCCATGCTGGATCATGCGTCAAGGTAACCCGCCCTTTCCCGTCCTAAGAAATAGGACATGAACAAATGAACAGCCGATTCCTGACAAACCGCGAAAAAGCCGGCCGCTATCTCCCCGAGTACCATGAAGCCAAGGGCACCCGCGACTTCTTCGCCTGCTGCCGTGACCCCGAGGTCGCCAGCACCCTGACCCTGCAGCCGATTGAGCGCTTCGCCGGCCTCCTCGACGCCGCCATCATCTTCTCCGACATCCTCGTCGTGCCCCAGGCCCTCGGCATGACGGTCGAGATGGTCGACAAGAAGGGCCCCCACTTCCCCGAGCCGCTCAAGACCCCGACTGACGGGCAATACGAAAAGGTGTTGTCCAAGAACGTCGACGTCGCCTCCGAGCTCGACTACGTCTACAAGGCAATCACCCTCACCCGCAAGAAGCTCGCCGGCCGTGTGCCCCTCATCGGCTTCTGCGGCGCCCCCTGGACGCTCTTCTGCTACATGGTCGAGGGCGGCGGCACCAAGCTCTTCATGCAGAGCAAGACGTGGATCTACCGCTACGCCGAGGAGTCCAAGGCGCTCCTGCAAAAGATTGCCGAGGTCTGCGTTGAGTACCTCGCGCTGCAGGTCAAGGCCGGCGCCCAGATGATCATGGTCTTTGACTCGTGGGCCGGCGAGCTCGGCCCCGAGGCCTTCAAGGAGTTCAGCCAGCCGTACCTGTCCTACATCTCCGAGAACCTCCCCAAGAAGCTCGCCGAGATGAACCTGGAGCGCGTTCCCATGACCGTCTTCCCCAAGGGCGCCTGGCACGCTCTCGACTCCGTCATTGACATTGGCTACGACGTCATCGGCCTCGACTGGCTCCAGGACCCCGCCGAGGCTGTCAAGATTCGCGGCGACAGGCGTGTCACTTTCCAGGGCAACGCAGACCCTGGCGTGTTGTACGGTACCCATGAGCGCATGACGGCGGCTGTCGAGACCATGGTCAAGGGCTTCTACGGTAACGGAAAGAAGGGATGGATTGCAAACCTCGGCCACGGTAAGTCGATGCGTTCAATTTCATTTGCTGCATTTTGTACGGAGAAAGGAAGAAGGCTGATAATCTCATGTTAGGCATCACCCCGGGCGTCAACCCCGAGGATCTCCGATTCTACCTGTCAGAAATTCATCGTTTGACGAAGAACTAAGCAGGCAACGAGTCGGTGGGTTGTGGACAAAAATCAAGAAGCGGCAAGTGATGATTGGAAAAGTGGATATTCGAGTATCAAGTCACAATACCTACAAGGCGTATTGAAAAAGGAGCGAAATAAAGTGATATGGCATCAATCTTTAAAGGCATCTTCCTAGAGACGGTAGTGCCTTAGGACAATCTTGGTCGAATCAAATGAACCCTCTGATAAAGCCTCATGAGTAGAAGGAAACATAACGGCAACCATGATAACTTTAAGCGTCGCAGCTTCAAAATGTTCTCCTGTAATAGTACCATAACAGTTCCTAAATTTCATGGTCAAGGAAGATATCATGGTTCAGAGCACAAGCCAATTGTATGGGATAAAATAAAAAATTCCATTATGCTTTTCCTTCCCGTATCGTAATTATCCTTGAAAATCATGTCGACCGTGGTATCAAGAACTTTTTTTGTGTCGTTTCAACATCTTCAAACAAGCCGCTGGCCATTAGCGACGCTTATTGTTTGCCTCCAGCAGAAAAAAAAATCCCCGATCCGTGAAAACTCCGTGGCAAAAGCGCTGTACAATGATGGCCTGATAAGAAACAGTCCTCTTGGACATTCCAGTCGCCGAAACGATGAAGAAGGCTTCAACGCCCTGTGGCGTCCAAGCGTGGTCACCAACTCAACAATACGCCATCGCTAATGACTCCTCATACCGAGAAGAGACACAATGCAGACGTAAATCCCGCCCATTGGGGGCGCAAGAGAGAAAGAACAGAAGAGAAGAGACGAAGCAGGTGAGGGCTTTATGCCTTCTTGGTCAGGTTGTTGAACCACTGCTTGCCCTTGGCGGCGAGACCGTTGGCGTTCTCCTCGGAGCTGCGGCGCGGTGACGGGCTCTTGCTCTTACGGAGGGTGGTAGCAGACTCGTCGTCGTCGACGGCGCTCGCGCCCTCGGCCTTGGCCTTCTTGGCGGCGGCCTCCTCCTCGGGTGATCCCTTGAAGACATTGGCGGAACCACCGCGGCCAAAGTGGGATGCGCCGGCACTCTCGCGTCGTGGGACACTAGATCGAGAAACTCATGTTAGCTTTAGGTCTTTTACTTGCTTCCTTCGAGTTCAATGGGGATAGCACTTACGCCTCAACGTCCTGGCGCAAACGAGTCTCGTAGGGGTCGGCGTTCTTGGCCATGTTTCCGCTTCCGCCGCGGCCCGTGGTGACGACAGATGTCTTCAGAGTCGGGGTCTCGAGGTCCTTGGGGGTGATCTTGGGCGACTTTGAGGTGTCGGCCATGTTGCCGGCACCGCCGCGTCCGTGTGAGGCAAGCATTTTTGGAGTTTGTGATGTGGGATTTGGTGTGGGAAAAGTGTGTGGTATAAACGTCTTTATGAGACTCGGGAGATGTTCGTGCTGTTCCGTCTAAGATGGTCTAATGCGCAATCGCTCTTCGGATGGAATTGTCGAGTCGAATTGGGACGTGAATGGTGCAGTCGGGTAGGCAAAGGTATGACTCTATGATTTCTCAGGGAAACAGATTCTCCGGTTTATATGTGTGTGTATGGTGGGAACGGGTGAGCTAGAGGGGTGGTGCAAGACGGGACAAAGGAGCTTTATAGGAACAGAATGAGGAACACACAGCAAGCACATAATATCTGGTCTTTGTTTTACCCCCTAGGTATCCGTCCATGTGAGGTGCTTCCCTCCCACAGGGAAGGAGGAAGAGCAAGGATGGGATTCTCGGCTGCAAGCAGCAGCTATTGCGCGACCTTTCCCAACTACGGCGCAAGTCATCCTTGGCCTTGCCTGACGTAGGGTGCGCCAGCCAAAAAAGTTGATCACAAGGTCAATCATTCTTTTCTTGCAACAGGCTCCTTGGCTGGCTGGTTTCTCCACATACGCGCCATCCCCGGGGGTGTGCACGCCTGCGTTCGCTGCTCACGCACGGCCTCGGCGATGAACGAACGACCTTGCTTGAGCTTCCAAGCTTGTTGGCCTCTCGGTCCACCGATCTGTCCAGGTGCTCTTCCATAAATTTTCTCTCTCTCTCTCTTGCTGTCCACTATAGCGGTGGAGAATGTACCTACGTCTCAGACCGCGCTGGCGGGAGAATAGGTGGGCCAGACCTGAAAAAAATTCTGTAGCTGGGGGAAGAGAAAAATTGAAACGAGGCCTCGATTCTCACAGGCGTTGGCGGAGAGTCATGGGAGAGGGGAGGGGTGTACCGTGTGTGGAGGGGCAAACGTTGACAAACTAAAACGTAATGAAAATAACGACATCCAGTCGAAAACACCACGCACCCGCTGAATAAGACCAGGCACGAACAGCGTTTCTTCCCACCCCCGGCTACTGGACCCCAACAGGTAAAGTCCCGAGGGGGTGCCATTGTCGTTTTACGGTTTACCTGGGAATTCGAGTCACTTGATGGCAATTCTTTAGCCGCTCGCTTCGTGCCTCATGGCAAACACGCGAGAGGGGAAGGTGCTGCTGCGTGTAAGTGTAAGTGTGAAACGCACATTCGGTGTGACGGGAACCAAGACGGTGAAGTGTACATCAGGTATTCGTAACTTAAGGAAGGACATTCACAAAAGCAGGGCTGATTCGCTGGTTTATGCAATAAGGAAAGAGAAAGGGTCGAACGGAAAGGCATCGCGATATTGCGCTTCGGCGTGCAGTCCAGGCGCCAGCGGTAAAGAATTGAGAGGGGGTCTGCAGTGCTGCACTATGCAGTCCTACCCCGGATTTTTTTTGCATGCTCTGTGGCCATGGGTTTACTTCGCACTACGGATACTTGAGGTTGCAGGAACCACCTACCTACCCCGGCGTCGTTTGATCATTTTGTGAACACTTGACTTGAAAACCCCCCCCTCTTGGCCTATCTTTCCTGGCAGTGCCTCGGGATTGCGCAATTCCATTCGTAGCCCGTCCGCATCGCCTGGTCCGGAGCGGTCGTGAAAATATGGTAGTTCTAGGCTGGGGGCGGCAGTGTTGGCGGTTGCTTGGCAATTGCGCGAATTTCGTCCCAGCCGAAGAGCGAAGGCGAAGAACCTAGGTAGGCATGGGCGAGCTGTACCTAGGTATGAGAAAAGCTGGGGCAAAGGAAATTTTCAAGCAATTTGCGCTCCCCGTCATTGTGCATTCCCTGGGCTGTTCATCCTCTTTGAGGCCCGGTGGCTTGTCTGTGAGACATGGTCTCGCTTCTAGGTGAGGAAGAGAGGAAAGTAGCAAAGTGCCGCGACTCATTTCTTT